CTCAGTGTCACAGGCTATCCCCACTTCAGTCTATCCTGAACTCTGCAGCCAGACTCATTCACCTTACCAACCGCTCCGTCTCCGCCACCCCCCTCTGCCAATCCCTCCACTGGCATCCGATTGCCCAACGGATCAAATTCAAAATCCTAACACTGACGTACAAAGCTGTCCATCATACTGCCCCAAACTACATCACTGACCTAATATCCAAATACCACCCAAAACGCACTCTCCGCTCCTCACAAGACCTCCTTTTCTTTAGTTCCCTGGTCTATTCCTCCCATGCCCGCCTCCAGGACTTCCCCCATCCTCTGGAACTCCCTACCCCAATCCATCAGACTATCACCTACTCTCCTTTAGGCGCACCCTGAAAACCCACCTCTACAGGGAAGCCTACCCCACCCCCTGCTAATTGCTGACCTCCTCCACTCTTCCTACCACTCCATCCCCCACAGCTATCTCCTCCTGTACCACTATCCCCTCCCTCCTAGATTGTAAGCTCCAAGAAAGCAGTGTATTGCATTTATTGTTGTACTGTCGCATGTATTGTCTCCCATTGTATTGTACAGCGCTGAGCGAACTGTTGGCACTTTATAAATACTGTATAATCACATAAGTGTGAATACCCATGCAATACGATTCTAGTGCAGACCAAGAAAAGGGTCCTGCACATTTTTGGTGCGGGTGCAGTGCGATTAGAGCCATACAAAAAAGGTATGGCTCCAATCGCACCGGACACAAATCGCATGTGATTCGCACAGGAATGTGGTGCAGTTCCTGTGTGAATCACATGCGATATACCGCACCGCATATATGTGAACCCAGACTCAATGTGTGCAAGCAGGTTGAAATGCTGGTTAGTAACACATCTGCTGCCCCAGCCAAGATGGAAAACGGTTAACCCGATTCCTGTACTTTCTACTGAGCTTTGCATCCATCTCTGTGCTGTTAATAAAAGGGGAGAGGGTTCTGCCCAGTCGGACAGTCTGCATGGGAAGAAACAGACAAGACACAGCATGTAATATCTGGGTGCAACTGCAGCTGCTAGAGACAGCCTCACCTGCCTCTAGAAATCTTACACATGCAGGGGGATTACTGGGACCTGCAGTCCTTCCTGAACAACACCAATTCTGGAGATCTTTCACTGAGGACTTTGCTTTGTATGGACTCTTGCCTGTGCCGATACGCTGAAGCAGCCACAAGTCTGAGTTATGGATTCGCTTAGGGAAAGGACTGTGCACTTCGTTTTGGAACGGTTATGCTGAGACTTTCCAGTAAAGCTTTTGAAATATTGTCCTTGCCTGGTCTGAAGTTACTTAAAGGGGTGCATGGTGGTAATGATGATGTGGATGAACAGAGCCTGTAAAGCACACTCATGGGTGAAGTGGTGACTTGCTATGGGCAACAAGTAATAGAGAAGGATGAGATGACAGTGGGAGAGCTAGTGGTGTATTTAAGTTTTGTGCTGCCCTAGGCAACACAAAAATTGGAGCCCCCTTAGCCCGCGGAGAGAGCCTGACATTGATCAACAACCCCCCTGCTCCTCCCCCCCAAGACAGAAAGACACACACACACACACCTTCACAGCTGGGAATGAGAGTCAGGCTCTGCATACACTATCAAGCAGCCTCTCTTGGATCCCACCTGATATACATGCCACAAGTGTCCCTTCTTCCAGGGGGCAGTGCTGCCCCCCTGAAAAATGCCACCCTAGGCAAATGCCTTGTGGTAAATACACCCCTGGGGAGAGCGGTACGGGCGGGGGTGACAGGTTTCATGCATAGTGAGAGAAGTGGTCGGTATCCCAGCGATCTAGACCGGACCAATATGGTGGAGACCTTGAGGACCTGGTGACAAAGAGAAAATTGTGCGCGCACTGGGGATCCATGCTGGTGCCCGGTGGGACCCTGTTCTGTCACTGGGAAGAGTTGGCAAAGTCAAGCTGGACTGGTGGAAGAGGACACTGCTGTGTGGTGTCTCCTTCAGGGTGTCACATCCTGAGCAGGTATGTGTTGTGGGACTGACACCGAAACCTGTATGTCAGCTTCAGGTTGTGATGCAAAGACACTGTGGTGTACGACTTGCTTCTAAGTCAAGGTGCTGCCATAATGTTGATGTCACATGAACGTAGCCCTGCCTGGTCCTGGGCATTAGCAAGCGAGTACATCGGAGAGTTAGGAGGAAAAGGAAGAGAGTAAAAGGCCCCATGTGAACCAGGCGAGTCGGCCTTGCCCATATGTGTTTTTTTTTTGCTGTAAACAAACCGATTCCAAAAGTCATATTTAGTCAGCCAGATTCATGTTTGTAGAACTGCAGACTCTATGGTTCATAATCTATAAGTGGTGGATAACAATCAGAGCTTAACTGTATCTGAGTACTACAAACAGAAAATAATATTTTATTCATTTTTAAAATTCAGAGCAAACTTGCCCATCCATCTATGTCTCTATGCTTTATGTTATTGAAAAAAATCACCTTGAAAAGCATTTCTAGCTGTGGCCATCTTGAGGAGATGATTCATGTAGCATTTACTTCCTGGAATTAATTTGCCCTTAGCTCAAGCATGCAGGCAGGCGGGCATGCTTAGCTGAAAAAGCCCCTCCTCAGGTAATAAAAAAAAAAAAAAAAAAAAAAAAAAACACAAAGACTCCTGGGATGTACACTATATTGTCAAAAGTATTGTGACACCTCTCCAAATCATTGGATTCAGGTGTTCCAATCACCTCCATGGCCACAGGTCTGTAAGGCTGCGTTCACACTAGCGTTGTGTGCAGGCGGCAGAGAGGCGTTTGGGAAGCGTTTTTACCACTTCCCAAACGCCTCTGACAATTCTGCACATTGCAGCACATGGTGCTGTTCTAACGGGAGCGTTAGCGGCGCGGCAAAATGGACACCTCTGGTCGAGTCAGGAGGCGTTGAAGCCTCCTATTCTAGTCTGTGGTGCCGTGGTTGCAGGGCGTTTGTGGAGCGGTAACACCATTCAAACTTTATTATAGGTGTTTGTGGGGCGTTTTAACGCTCTGCAAACGTCACTAAACCGCGCATGCGGCGTTTTCGGAGCGTTTGCCGAGCGTTAAAAAACGCTCCGCAAATGCTGGACCAACGCTTGCCAAACGCTAGGGGCTAGGGGCGTTTGGCAAGCGTTGGTAAAACAGTCAAGTGTGAATGAGCCCTTACATCAAGCACCTAGGCATGCAGACTGGTTCTACAAACATTTGTGAAAGAATGGGTCGCTCTCAGGAGCTCAGTGAATTCAAGCGTGGTACCGTGATAGGTTGCCACCTGTGCAGTTAGTCATCCATGAATTTTCTTGCTACTAAATATTCCACGGTCAACTGTTAGTGGTATTATAACAAAGTGGAAGCAACTGGGAACAACAGAAACTCAGCCATGAAGTGGTAGGCCACATAAAATGACAGAACAGGGTATGCATGCTGAAGCGCACAGTGTGCAGGAGTCGCCAACTGTCTGCAGAGTCAAAAGCTAAAGACCTCCAAACTTCGTGTGGCCTTCAGATAAGCACAACAGTGCGTAGAGAGCTTCATGGAATGGGTGTCCATGGCCGAGCAACTGCATCCAAGCCTTACAAAGTGCAATGCAAAGCATAGGATGCAGTGGTGTAAAGCACGCCACCACTGCACTCTAGAACAGTGGAGACGTTTTCTCTGGAGTGACGAATCAAGCTTCTCTTTTTTGGAAATCCGATGGACGGATGCCTGACTGCATTGTGCAAGTGTAAAGTTTGGTGGAGGGGGGATTATGGTTTGGGGTTGTATTTCAGGGGTTGGGCTTGGCCCCTTAGTTCCAGTGAAGGGAACTCTTAAGGTGTCAGCATAGCAAGACATTTTGGACAATTTCATGCTCCCAACTGTGTGGGAACAGTTTAGGGATGGCCCCTTTCTGTTCCAACAGGACTATGGACCTTGCTTTTTGCACTGGTGAGCAAAGACATGGATGAGTGAGTTTGGGGTGGAGGAATTTGACTGGCTGGCACAGAGTCCTGACCTCAACCCGATAGAACATCTTTGGGATGAATTAGAGCGGAGACTGTGAGCCAGGCCTTCTCATCTGACATCAGTGCCTGACCTCACAAATGTTCTTCTGGAAGAATGGTCAAACATTCCCATAGACACCCTCCTAAACCTTGTGGACAGCCTTCCCAGAAGAGTTGAAGCTGTTATAGCTGCAAAGGGCGGGCCAACTCAATATTGAACCCTACAGACTAAGACTGGGATGCCATTAAAGTTCATGGGCATGTAAAGACAGGAATCCCAATACTTTTGGCAATATAGTGTATGTAGGGGCAAAACTGGGGAGGGGGGTAGGGTGCTCCTGGGCGCTGTATTGAGAGGGGCGCCACCAGCACTTGTAGACAGTGGAGTGCAGTCCGTACCAAGTGCAGACTCAGTGAGAGTGTTGTGGGCTGCATGAAATACCTGAAGGTAAAAAAACCTTGAGCCTTTACAAACTAAAATGAGTTTGCTGAGTAAATCAGTAAATCATATACCCTTTTCAGCACTGTTGATGCAATTTGACCACACCCACAGTTTGCCGTGGATCGCTGCGCACGCGCCAATGTATATCTTTGGTAATTTTTAAATTTAAAACAAGTATGTAAATACAATATACCTTTCTATTTACGAAGGCTAGAAGCATAAGGATTAAAATGGTCCATGTTGATTGAGAGTTTAGTTCTGCTTTAACAAGAAGGATTATTTTATGTCTAGTCCCCATTTGTAAGATCTAACCTCACTAGTTATTCTGGGATCAATATTACCAGAAAATGGGAGGAAATCTAAAATGTTACAGCTACCATAATAGGAGTAGGATGGTTTCTGTTCCAATGGGCAAACTTGTTCCTGTGACAAGGTAGAATTTTTACTTTATTTTTGGGAAAATTTAACTTGCTTACCTGTTGTCTTTCATTGTGTCTCCTTTGAGTTCCCAGTAACAAAAAAAAAAAAAAAAAAAGTGCTATAGCAATACAAATTAAATCTCACCAGGTAAGCAATGACATCATATCCTTGTTCCTTCAGCCACACTAGAATACAGGATGTATCCAGGCCTCCACTGTATGCCAGGACCACTGTGCCTTTTGAAGACATGGCGCCCTGCAGATGAAAGAAGAGCCAATGATAATGGTGAACATTTCACAACCATATACAGGAATTGAGTGGGATTTCCTATGTTGCCTTAAATAATAGATACTAACAGAGTGTATCTATAATGAGTTGCAGCGTAAATATTCTGTCTGAACAAATACATCCCTCCCAAATTTTTCAACTAAGGAAGAGAAACACCTCTTACAAATGGTATGTAGACAAAGACACACCACCGCCATGATTCCAGTTATGGGGACCAATAAAAGCTCATGGGCTAAACATTATCACTTCAAGCCCAACTCTAACCCAAACTTTGTGTGTGTCAACAGAATCGGGAAGACTGGAAACATTGTTCATTTTGTTTGTCTCCAATCCAATTGTGTCACCAAAATCAAAGTGGCCACAAAAATGTCCCAGAAAAAAAAAAAAAAAAAAAAAAGATAGTAAATACCTACGTCTGCTACCCATTCCACCAATCACCTCCAAGATGCAGAGAAATCATCTGCTGAAGTTTGTTGAGTGTCCCATTCCTGGTACCTCATTGCTTGTGCATGACTCCATGTTACTACTGTGTCCCCTAGCTTCATAAGGGCCAGAGGGAGGAACCACCAAGTGCTGTAGGCGACCAGAAATCGACACCCAAATGCAAAATTATTTGTCTTTGTTTTGGATAACACGGAGAGCAATTGGAGCACCTGTCCGGTCTTTAGTGCCCATTGGGGAGACTCACCCCCCCCCCCCCCCCCATTTGTCCTGATGACCGTTATCACTAAATGTGAAAGAAAATCCCAGATTTTGAGGGGGCACCAGAACAAGAATAGAGGGGGATTCTTCAGTTGGGACACAGTTGTGGTGACTTTGGTGACTAGTTAAGATGAACTTGGACATCAAACTCCTCTCTATCCGATCGTCTACTTTCCCTACTCGCAGCACAAAGTGGCGGGATACTGGTGACCTCAGTGCCTTTACAGGGACACGTGTCTATATTTAGCCAATGACACTGATTACATTTGGGTATATGCTCATATAAGAGCATTGATGTCACCAGCATCCTGTCCCTTTGTTTTTGTATGCTGTAGGGTGGGGAATGACGCGGTCTGCAGCTAAATTAGACGAAAGGAGTATTGTTAGAAAAGCGCCACACCCTAAAACCTCTAAAGCAGCAAATTCCTACTTCAAAAAACTCACAGAAAATTTTTGATCGAACAAATAAATAAAAGGAATGCGCTAAATGAACATATAACTAAATAAATGACAAAGAAAAATTGTGAAAAAACAAAAAAGTGTTCATAAATAAATGTCCAAAAAGTATTTTTCAGATCAAGTGATGTCCACACTGTACTAAAGCCACCACCAAAAAAAGTTGGGTCACTCACCAGAGCTCAATGCTGATCAGCAATTGGACCAGCAAAAAGCGCTTTTGCTCCGCCGTTCACCGCGGATCCCCTGCTCACAGACCCAGAGCTGTTCCCAGACGTCGGCATCCAGTAGGCCACGCCCTATGCGTTTCGTCACTACGACGTCCTCACGGGGCAGTCTGTCCAGCGGTGGTGGATTTAGCACGGTGTGGACATCACTTGATTTGAAAAATACTTTTTGGGCATTTATTTATGAACACTTTTTTGTTTTTTTTTCACAATTTTTCTTTGTCATTTATTTAGTTATATGTTCATTTAGCGCATTCCTTTTATTTAAAAATTAGACGAAAAATAGCAGGAAGTGGAAGTTCCGAAAGAGATGAGTTTGGAGGACCCCCAAGCTCATGTCTGGGGACTACCAGTATATTCTCTTACTGTGAAAGGATTTCCTCTCCACTTCCTGTCCCACAGCCACAACAGGAAATTAAGTGAAATCTCCCCAATGGGATGCAGATGGCAAAAAAAAAAAAAATGCCTAGGAGGGGCTATAACACTTTCGTGCTCTATCTAAAAAAAACAAAAAAAAAAAAAAACTTTTTGCCTTCATTTCTACTTTAAGGGCTGGTTCACACACCACATGTGGTCCAGAGTATTTTTTTTCTGCATCAAAATACATTGATACTAGGCTACATGGTTTCCAATGGCATAATTCACTCCAGTGTGGTCAGTTCCGGAAAGAAAACAAAAAAAAAAAAAAAAAGCAGATCATGCTGCATTTTTTCTCTGTACTGGAATGCAGTAAAATGCATCGGAACACACCTAAACACACTAGAATGCATGTGCTTACCCACATGGAAGAAAAATATATTTTAAAAATATCCTTCCCAAATATATTGCCGTATATTTGAAATACTACAATTTCGGTCGTATTCTATATGTATATATATATATATATATATATATATATATATATATATATATATATATATATATACATACACCACACATACATACATACATATACACACACACACACACACTGCATGTTGAAATGCGTTTTTATTACAAATTATATGAAAAATATTTTTAAAAATACATTTCAAATATACTGTATGTCTTTAAAAATACAAATCTACATTTTTAGAATGCATTTACAAATGTATGTTAAAAAAAATCTATTTTTAAAAAACATATATTTTTTTTTAAATATATTCTTCAGATTCTTATGGCCAAAATTGTAGTATTTCAAATATATGGCAATATATTTGGGATGAATATTTTTAAAGTATATTTCAAATATATTTTTCTTCCATATGGGTTTTAAGTTGAAGAAAATAGATACGGGGGGGGAAAAAAATGAACCAAAACGCACCAAAAACACACCGGAACACGTCAAACGCGCATACAGGAACACATCCAGACTGTGTTGCTATAGTATAACTATCAGCAAACTTTTTAGTGGACAGGGATTAGAACATCTGTCAGGTTCTATTGCAGTCTGTGCCCCTGTTAGGGAGACAAAAGTATGGAGAATTTCCCTTAATTCTTGTTCTTTTTGTAGCCACATAACTTTTTGTTTCCATTGGAGATTCAAACATTTGAGCTGTATGTAAGGCTGCTTATCACACTGATGGGGAATTAATAAAAAGCAGAAGGCGGGGTGTGCCGACTAGGCAAAAACAGACATCAATATTTGTATAACAAAGCACCCCAAGAGCCTGTTTCTGGGGCTCCTGTGCTAGTAAAAGGGTTCCCACATTTAAACACGAGTTCCAGATTGCTCACCAATTATTCATTACAGATAAACATTAGAAACATGCTTATGCTTGTACCCCTAAGGAGTGTGCTGAAAACACCCAATACTTCCCACAGAAATATTGTCTGATTCGCTATGATAATCAACACGAGGATGGTGACCACTGACCTTTCAGGTGATGGTGCAGCAACAGATCAACGTGTACAGTTGTCACAGAGTTTCCTGCAGGCCGGAGAAAGAAAGCAGTGACATATTACTTGCCCTATGAATCTGTGTTCTATAAAAAGGTACCTCTATACCCGGAAACCCTCACCTAATCCTTTAAATCATTGGATCTGGATCAATCAATGCTTTATTGCAAAGTCAAATACAGTAATACCTCGGTTTACAAATTTAATTTGTTCTACAAGACTTTTCGTATAGCGAAAAATTAGTAAACCAAAATGCATTAAAAACCTATTCCATTCCGAAGGTCAGCAAAAAGTAAACGCTACTAAAATACCACGAGTTATTTTATCAAGTCATGCGGTATTTTAGTAGTGACAAACCATCTGTTAATGTTTTGGCTGTCAATGGGGTTCCCCACTGACAACTGAATGTAAAAGAATTGCCGGCAATTAAAAAAAAAAACGGCATGGGGTTCCCCCTCCCATCCATACCAAGCCCTTTGGGTCTGGTATGGATTTTGAGGGGAACTCCAACGCCAAAATTAAAAAAAAAAAAAAAAAAATATTATATATATATACACACACACACATATATATATATATATATATACATATACATATATATATATATATATATATATATATATATATAGAGCATGCAGCCCGGCAGGGGGACAAAGTGCTTTAGGGGAGGGGGAAGCCCCCTCTCCCCCACAGCATGCTGCCATGTTGAGGGCATGTGGCCTGGTATGGTTCAGGAGGGGGGGGTGCTTGCTCAATCCCCCCGCCCCCTTTCCTGACCTATTGGGCTGCATGCTCGGATAAGGGTCTGGTATGGATTTTGGGGGGGGGGGGGACCCCCATGACATTTTTTTTCTTTAATTTTGGCATGGGTTTCCCTCAAAATCCATACCAGACCCAAAGGGCTTGGCGTGGATGGGAGGGGGGACCCCACTCCGTTTTTTTTATTATGGTGCAGGTTTTTTAAATGTAATTACCGCTTTTTTTTTTCTTCACTATAGCTCAGAAATTCAGCTGTCACTTTCCCCCCAGCTAAAAGAAATAAAGTTTTCTTTTAGTTTACTTCCCCAAGTTAAAAGAAGCAATGTTTCCTTTTCTTAAGTTTCTTAAAAGATACAAACTTTCCTGTAATCTGGGGAAAGTGACAGCTAATCTCGTGAGCTATAGTGAAAAAAAAGCTGGCAATTGCATTTAAAAAACAGCACAGACATACACTTCATATTGCGAAAAAAAATTTGTACAAAATTTGTAAACCGAGGCATTATTTTCAATGGGTTTTTTCATTCGTAAACCGAAAATTACGTTAATCGAGGCATTCGTAAATTGAGGTACCACTATATACATTATAGCAACGATTTCTACAGGTAGCAAAAAAAGCTTCGCAACTTGTTAGTGGAATGTGTCCCTAAAAGGACGGCTATTTCTTCAAGAGTTATAACGTCATCCTTTTATGTCAGTAACCTCATTGGGGTGATTTTCTCAATTTTCTGTACTGGTGACACCCAGATAAGTAATAGGGAGTTGGTGGTGTTGGGAGGGGGGGGGGGGGTTGCAAACACCAATAAAACACCCTTTTCTCACACCAACCAAAATGTGTTTCTGTTTTTTTTGTCTGGGTCCCTGTTCAAGATATTTTTTTCTTCACTTCTCTCTGTCCCTGTCATCAGAGCAGGAGGTAAAGGAAAATCTCCAGATTACGGA